TACTAGGCTGCATCTCTACTCCCAAACCTTTATTACCTTAAAACTCATACTTCTAATGTATAAGCAGCTACCTTATCCAGCCACAGCTTTTGAGTTTTGGGTGGGAATACTGAGCCATGCCAACACCAAAGTTGCACTTGGGTCACGCAATCCTTCCAGGGACCCAAAAGTAAAATCCAGTCATGGATGATGAAGATGTTCTGGGCATCTTTCTTCAAATCCAAGAAATATGTTACTACTCACTGCTTCAATTCATTTGCTGGGGACTCTGGCCTTTGCATATTTCATTCCTGACTCAGATTCTTACAAAATTAGTTTCCACGTTCTTTTAAGGAAATGTAGGCCTTCTCAGAAATGTATCCAAATTTAACAACATATTTTTACATTACTTACAGTATAATTTCTTTCCAGTAGTTCCTCTGCTTGGGGTTAAGGTGAAGAGACATTTATGTTCTCATTACAGTATTGTAATTTATTATTTAGCCAGAGTCCTGTGAAACAGTTGGTTCGGTGGTTTTCTTCTTCCTTAATGATGCTACTACTTTCAGTTTAGTTCCAGTGGATTTTTGAGGCTGATATTTCAGCTCTTAAGACCACTGAGAACAATTCCAACAAAGTTTGAATAGGACTCTTGGGGCTCTAATTGAGTTGGATGGCTTCACAAGTGCTTAATATGCAAGAACCTGTCAAAATGGATTTTGGTGCAATGGGAACAAAAATGAACAATCTTTTGATTTTCCCAATAGCAAATGGCTTTAATTTTAAAAAGAAAATATTGCTGCTGATATTTTCTGTAATTTTTTGCTGAAATGAAAAAAAATTTTTTTTAACTTATAAAGAAGGGGTATCTGAGAGAATGAGGTCAACAATCTGGTTAATAAAATAGAAAAAGCCCTGTCTCTGGAGTCCAAGGACCAGGGCTCGAGGACTTGAAACTCTACTCTGACACTTATTACCTATATGACCTTGAAGAATTCACTTGCCCCTACCCACACATACACACCTCAGTTTCTTCTACTGTAAACTAAGTGGAAAGGTAGAGTAGATAACCTCTGACGTCTCTTCAGTCTCTAAATGTCCTCTGAACATTTGAACTTGCTAAGTTGAATCAGCTAATGTTTTGTTTAAAGACAAGTTATGAATTCCTTTAAAAAAAAAAGCTGATATAAAGATAATACTAGGAATTCTTTGCAACAGCTTCAAAGCATTTGGTATATAAAGCAGTGGAACTGCATTGGATTTGATGCTGGCAGGGATTAGGTTTGAATCCTGAATCTGACATTTGTGGGTGTCCAATGTGGTGAGTCACCAAACCTCTCTGAGTCTCAGTCTTCTCACCTGTAAAGCAGAGAGAGGGGCAACTAGGTGGTACAGTGCATAGAATGCCATGCCAGGAGTCAAGAAGACTCATCTTCCTGAATTCAAATCTGGCCTCAGACATTTACTAGCTGTGTGACCGTGGGCAAGTCACTTAACCCTGTTTGCCTCAGTTCCTCATCTGTAAAACAAGCTGGAAAAGGAAAAAGCAAAACATTTCAGTATCTTTGCCATGAAAACCCCCAAATGGGGCCATGAAAAGTCGGACACAACTGAAATTACTGAACAAAAAAAGCAGGAGATGGGTACAGTAGTAAAGATGCTGGCTTTAGATTTATCAAAGTTGGGTTCAAATCCTGCCTCTGGCACTTACTACCAGGGTGACTTCTAACAAATTACTTCTCTCTGGGGCCTTCCTTTATTTTCTCACATGTAATATGAGGACGTTGGGCTGGATAATCCCTGAAGTTCCTTCCAGTTCTAAATTTCAGATTCTGTGAAAGTCTTTTGCAGATCTAAAAGGGATATAGAAATGTAAGTTGTTCTTATGTCACTTTTTTTTTTTTGGCAAGGCAATCAGGGTTAAGTGACTTGCCCAGGGTCACAAAGATAGTAAATTATGTTACTTTTTAAGGGGCCTCTCTAACTCCATGTGTTTTCCTCCCTCCTATTCCCCAACCCTCAAATGAATACAGAAAATAATGAAGTCTTTTAGCTTGTAGAGGTTTCCCACCAGAACCAATGCTGCTAGAGTATTGTTCGATTGTTGATGGAAACAGTTGAGGAGGTGGTCGTGATATACTCTCATTTTCATTTCATTTCTTTTTAACCTTTCCTTCAATTTCAGAGTCTGCAGAAGCCTTGGTGATTTATTTGAATGATTATTTCCCATTATTTTAGAGATATTTTTAAATTACCTTCGTTTGTGAAATACAGCTCTGGTGTATTGTTTAAGCTTGGAAACCAGGATCTGTAGGGACCAAGAATGTGGAGAGCAGGAACCTCATATTTTTTTTAAGTGTTGGGAAAGAATTTGGTAGCTTCCTGGTTAATTCATATAACCAGTGGAAGCAGCATTATTCCTTGATGCCATTTCACAGACTGTTTTCCATCAGAAACCAAAGTGAATGACAGTAGAATGTTCTGTATGGTCATAGTTAGAGGCACAGTGTTAATAATAATGCAAATGCTACTAGATTTCACTCTCACCATGTTGGCCAATTGTCTCCCCCCGAAAAGATCCTTATTTTTGTGCTCACCTTCCGGAAAACAAAAACATAACATTGTGTCTGAGATTCTTTGAGATATCTCTGGGGCAGAATTTGTGGTTCTTAGTTGGTTTGGAGTCCAGTGTGAAAGGACAC